ATCATAAATTAATTTGGAATTAATTTGATGATCAAAAGAGACTAATTAAATTAACGGGGACTGATTATGCAAATCAGTAATATTTATAGTTTGGGCTCATGGACCTTATTGGTATAAGGTGGACGAAATCTCTATGAGAGTCCATAAAGATTTCGTCCAAGGCTTGTCCATTAAGGAGTCCATATGTTGCTTAGGGCCTAAGCAAGGGAATTAGGGTTTCCAAGTTGATAATTGTTGGGGTACAAAGTTATTCATGATTGACTTTGTAATTGTTTGACTTTTGTAAAACCCACTTGCATGTGGTGCATTAGCCTTGTGACACATGTGTTAGTGAGAGTGAGAGAGAGACATGTAAATACCTCTATATAAGGTGGGTTTGTCCACTTGTAGAGGTGTGCTTAAGAGATGTAGTCATAGTGATTAGTGAATGAGATATTTATGAAGTTCTAGACTAGATCCCTTTTTGCACTCATTTACTATGATCTAATATATCTTTTAGCACCCAAATCACCATGTTCAATTGTGTAAACTTTAATTCCGCATGCCAAACAATGTTCTTTGTCACTACAATTGGTATCAGAGCGGGTCTTCAAGATCAAGGTGATTTTTGAAGAACGATTCTCGGTTTGGCAACATTTGTCACAATCGGAGCAATTTTTGGTGAGTCTCTCTCTATGATCTCTCTTAATAATTGAATTGTGTGTTATGTTTTTGAATGTTGACCAATTTGTTTCGTTGAATCTAATCCGTTTTTACCCCATTGGTGATTCAACAAATTTTTTTTAAACGATCAAGCCCAAATCTGAATTTAAAAGATTTAATTCATTGTTATTCATTGATCCAAGTTTTAAAGCCCAAATTCCAATTGATTACTGTTCATTCTCGTTTTGAGCCCAAATTCGTTTACAGTGTAAACTCGTTCTTGATATTATCACATGCTTCAATGACTTGTACTTTCCAGTGTTCTTGAATGTTCATACGAACATGATTTCGTCTTGTCCTTCTTAGCATTCGTTGCTTATAAAATCTGTCTTGTGAATCGATTTCACTTGGGTTGTACCAATATAAAGTCGATTATGATCAAGCTATTGATAATCGGTTCAATTGAAAAGTCAATCTTAAAGTCAACATTCATGTTCTTGATCAATTGAACACGGAATTGAAAGTTGAACTGGATTTGGAGATTGGATATTGAAATCGATATTGAATGATGATCTGATTTTGAAGTCAGAGACTATTGATTTTGAAAATAATAAATCGATTTTGAACAGTAAAAGCAAAGAACTGTGATCGATTAGCGAAGGATTGGTCACGGATTGGAATTGTTATTGAAAGGGTTTGTTAATGGTTGATTCAATGTCGATGATTTCTGTATATGAAGAAAGTTTGGAATTAAAGAGGTTCGATAGTTGAATTGATTGAAGTGCTCAACAGTTGTCAAAACTCATGTTCTTGGCTATGTGGAAACGAAAAAGCTTGAGTTTTTTAATCGAATGGTTTTTGAGTTTTGTTGGTTGATTGGAAACGAACTGGAAACAAATTGGAGTTTTTGATAGGTTGAAATTTGTTGTTGATGACAACGATTTTGGAATTGGGGCGAATGTTCGGATGTTTGGAGTCGATGGTTGATGATAGAACGAACGAAAGTTTTTCGTTTTGTGGTGATTTTTGGATGTCGACGAGTTTTTGGATGTTTGGTAAACTGAAAAACGAACGAAAAATGATCGACTATGTTGATTTGGTTATTAAGATTCGAAGATTTGGGAATCGATGGTTTGGTGAACCGGAACGAAGAACTATAACAATGAACAGTAAGAACGAAGAATGATTTTTGGGTTGAATGTACGAACTGTAAGAATGAGAATCTTATTCAGAGGTATTCAGAGGTTACTGTTCATTGGATAGGCTTCAAATGCTTCGAATTCGTGTGTTTGGGAAAATTTTCGTTTGAAGAGGAGAGAAAATTTTGGGGAAGATGATTTTCATACGAAGAGGAGAGAGAAGGAAAATTTTCGTATGTTTGGCAAAATTTCGTATGTTTGGAAGCAAAACCAAAATTTTCGAATATAGTCCCTCAAATTTCAAATGGTTGTCAATTGGGAAAAGGCTTCGTATGATCGAGCAAAAGTCTTCGTATGTTTTGATTAAAAAGTAGAATTTTCGAATTCAGCCCCTGAAATTTCGAATGTTTGACAAACTCAACAATTAATTGAAGTTTCGAATGTTTGACACTTTTCACCCAGATTCGAAAATTTTCTGAAATTTCGAATGCTTGATCAACTCTTTGTATGTTTGGTACACAATGGCAGAATTTTCGAAAATAGTCCCTGAGGCTTCGAATGTTTGGCGGTTCATACCCAAATTCGAAAAGGACTGTTTTTTGCTGAAAATTGAAGAAAATGCATTTCAGGCCCCTACCGTTTGTGCAAATTGATGTTTTCTACCCAACTTTGGAAAAGGGGGAGAGTTTTGCATATTTTGTTGTTTTGGGCGCATCGGGTCACTGCAGAATTTTGAAATTGACAATTTCTACCCATTTTTGAGAAATTTTGTCAAAGGCGATCTGTGAACGAAGCTAAAAATTAAATATTTTTTGGATTTTCCGGATTGAAGCACACAGTTTATGCCACATGTTAAGGGGGAGTTTTGACACGAAAAATTCCAAATAGAGCACGTTCTTTTTCCTTGGAAGTTTTATAATCAAATTTCAATTATAAAAAGGGGGCGAAGTTTATATGGAAGTTCCAACATGAATTTTTCATATTACGCGGGTTTGAAGACCGAAGTGATCTTGAAGTTTTGAAGCCTACGAGATGATGCAATTGGATGTTCGGAAATGATGTATTAGAAATGGGTTTGGTTTTATTGAAGAAGTTTTGGGGTGTGTTTTTAAGCGCAAATTTTGGGTGATTATTTGGAGTTAATCATTCGTTGTTGCTCGGTTTGTATGGTCTCACATCCTAGAGCCCAAATTGAAGAATCATGAAAGAATTGAAGATTGAAGTTTGTTTCGACATGTGTCACCTTTGAGGCTCGAACCGCGTAGTTGCTCGATTTTGGAAGATTTGAAGTGGGTCATTCATTCCTAAATTTGAGGGGGAGAATATTGGGGTACAAAGTTAGTCATGATTGACTTTGTAATTGTTTGACTTTTGTAAAACCCACTTGCATGTGGTGCATTAGCCTTTTGACACATGTGTTAGTGAGAGTGAGAGAGAGACATGTAAACACCTCTATATAAGGTGGGTTTGTCCACTTGTAGAGGTGTGCTTAAGAGATGTAGTCATAGTGATTAGTGAGTGAGATATTTATGAGGTTCTAGACTAGATCCCTTTTTGTACTCATTTACTATGATTGAATATATCTTTTAGCACCCAAATCACCATGTTCAATTGTGCAAACTTTAATTTCGCATGCCAAATCATGTTCTTTGTCACTACAATAACCTTAGAAGCCTCAACTATAAAAAGAACCCCAAATGCTCCCAAAAATGTCCCAGGCCATTCTAAGAGAGTCCTAGACGTTTTGAATCCTCCTCCTCTCTCTTATATTCTTCTTTGTTGCTAGTGGTGTTTGTGACTCCATTAGAGGTGCAACAATTGGGGCACTAAGCTTTCAACAGTCAAGGACTTTGTGGATTGTTCTTGTTATTGCTACATAACAAGTAAGGTAAGATTCCAAACCCTTATTTACATATGAATTTCTTTCTTAGACAAGTTAGATTAAGGTTTATGCTTTGGAAGATTGTTTGCATGTATAATTTGAGGAAAACCTAGATCTAAAGCATTAGGGTTGCATGTACACCATAGGAATTATGTTATGTTCAAAACGCATCAGTGGTATCAGAGCCTAGGGTTGTTTTTGGTTACATGATGCAAAAGTTAAGTTTTCAAAAGACAGTGTGTTCACCTCGTGAACACAGTCTGACAGCAGATTTCGAAACTTTTGCCCTAATTTGATTTGGATAATTACCATAAATTGTTTTTCCAATTAAAAATCAGATTTTTGTATTTTGGTAATTGATATCCTAATCAAATTAATAGATAATTGTCAATTTAAGATAATTACTTGTTTTATAAGATAAAGACTAATTATTTGTATTTTGATTTGAATTATCTTGTAAGAAAAAAAAATGGATTAGGTCAAATTATGTGATAATTATTAGTTATATGATATTTAATTAGTTTTCAAATTTGATCTAAAAGATATTTTGAAAAGTTTTAAATTTTGCCCTCAAGTTTTGGAATTTATAATTTAATTAAAAGGTATTAATTTGAAATATTAAATTCTAGAACCCTAGTGTTTTGAAAAGTTCAAATTACACCCTTATGGTTTTATTAAATTAGTTAAGTGTTTAATTAAAAGGGAAAATTAATGAATCCAGAATAATATGGTTTAAGATTAATCAAATTAAAAGTTACTAATAGATTAAATCACCTAATATTTTAATAGTGTAAAATACACCCTTATACTATATAAAATTAATAGTCTAATATTATATATGTATGAGTTAAGAGTTAGTCTTACTGTTAGTATGCCTCATTCACGAAGCTGGTCTGTAAGGGGAGTTTAAGAAAGCGGCCTATAAATTACCGTCATTGGGTATCCACTCTTACCCACCTCACTCTTGACTAGTGTAGGGTCATTAGCCGAACGGGTAGGATAAGACACAACCTTCCATTATAAATATAATGAAATACGAAGTAACTAAACACTTTTACAAATTCCCAAATCTTAGTTACTTTAGGAAAAATGTAGAATTGGTGCTAAATCATGAAATTGCACATTGCGCCTTGTTGGTCGTTAGTGGAGCGTGTGTGGTTAACTGGCACACTAATATGGGACCAAAGAAGGATGGCAATGGGTTTCTCGTAAGCTTATCATTGATCAATGGAGCGTGTGTGGTTAACCGACATATTGATTTGGTGGTGCTAAATCATGAAACTACTGCTTTTCATGGCATTGCATTTCCATCACTTGAAGTTCTGACATTTAAAGATATGAAAGGTTGGCAGAGATGGTCGATTAATAGTGGTGATGACCATAGGACTTCTAGATCATTTCCTCGTCTTCATCGGATGTATTTAATAAATTGTCCAGAACTAGCTGAAGTGTCAATCGGATTGATACCTTCACTTCGGGTTTTATATATACAAGAATGTTCCGAAGCAGTGTTAAGAAGCATGGTTGGTTTGTCCTCATCACTTGTTGAGTTAAAAATGTTAAATGTCAAAGGACTTACTCAACTACATGGAGAAGTTTTAATGCATCTTAGGGCACTTGAAGATCTTTATATTAAAAATTGTGATGATCTGAGGTACTTGTGGGAACAAGAATCAGATGCATACAATAGACTTGTGAGCTTACAAAAGATGGAAGTAAGGTGGTGTAAAAACTTGGTTTCATCAGCTAAGAAAGAGGATAATTTTGGGATAAACATGGAATCTCTTAAACGAGTGGAACTTTGTTATTGTGATGCACTGGAGAGTTACAATTGTCCAAATAGTGTTGAGAGGTTGGAGATAACTAATTGTGGTTCAATGACATCCTTGACCTTCTCAGCAGTGCAGGAGCACTCATCCCCTCTTACTGAATTGATGGTCGGTGATTGTGATAACATACAATTACAACCCAAACCCATTCCAGTCAAAGATTTTCGTTTTCTCTCCATGTCTCGCCTAACATATCTTTTCATCAATAATTGCAAGAATCTAAAGTCATATTCTCATGAGCATTTTCAAATTCTCACATCTTTGGAGCTAATGTTTATGTATGGTTGTCCAAGTGTAGACTACTCCTTCCCTTGTGGGGTGTGGCCTCCTAATTTAAGCAAATTAAGGATAGGTGGCTTAAATAAGCCCATGTCAAAGTGGGGCCCACAGAATTTTCCAACCTCACTAGTTGAACTAGAGTTATATGGAAAAAATCTAGGAGTAGATTCATTTTCAGTGTCAGACAATGTGAGGAATCCTACTACTACATCATCATCTTCAACTTTTCTTCTTCCACCATCTCTGGTTTCTCTAGCAATCAATGCTTTTACAGATGTGGAATCATTTTCAGAGGTCTTACCACACCTCCCCTGCCTTAAAAGACTTCATATCATATCATGTCCGAAGATTACAGATCTTAAGACAACTTCCGGCCCATCAAATTTGACAATATATGTGGGGAAGTAAAACAGGTATGTCATCTCCTTTCACATCATATGTGGTTATTTTTTTTAATAAGGTTATTATAATCATTGTTTCTTATCAAATGTGAAAGAGGGTTCTACGACTTGTATGAGTTGTATCCCTGTCTGGATTTTATAGATATTACGTCCCATCTCTTATGATAGCTATAAACATCACAAATTCTTTTAGTTTTTTTATTTTTATAAATGCAATATTCCTTAAAAAGTAAGATTTCAATTTCTGTATTTTTTTTTTTCAATAATTATCCAAAAGTATTAGGAAAATTAATTATGAGACTTGTTTGTTTTTCGTTTGGTGATAAGATTATTTCAATATTGAACTAACGGCAAAACTAGTACTGAAAGAAGAATAAACTATAGCTGCAGTAGTTGAATAATTTTTCGTTTTTTGTAGAACTTTTACCATTAAGTTGCTAGGTATATTTGTTGCTACTGTATTATTTTATCTTTGTTGCACTACTTCTTAGTGTTTTCTTTTTCGTTGTCATTTTGTAGTTTTCGTTCATATTGGCTTCTAGTGAACTTGTGCATTGTTGAAAGAATTACTAGAAAACATAACTAAATTGTGTACAATTCGGACTTTAATCCAAGAAACTATGACACTTTTATTTGGACATCAGAAATTTTGACTTTTTATGTCAAACCCATTGGCCTTAAGATATTGATTTTGCTAGTAATTTAGAAAACTGGCACCATCTTAATCCCTTTGTAACCTTTGCTATATAACATCAGATATCTTAACAAATTTGTATCAGTTTCAAGGTTAGAAATAATCCAGTTCACATTAAACGTAATCTGTTTTGGTAAAAAAAATATGCTCAAAATCTGTATAGCAGGAGTAATTGTGTTTTTTCTGTTGTTATTCTGAGCATTGGCTGACCAGTGTATTATAAGGGGGGTCCATGGACCCCCCTTAAAAACTTGAAAGCCGATTTTAACCCCCATTTTACTAAAACAGCCCTTAAAAATCCAGCTGAAATTATCCTTTTGGCACCCACTTTGGCTGAAAAAACATATTTTATTTTTAACAGGAAAACCCCCCAAAAAATCGCAAAATTTCAGATTTTTTCTACTTTCAAATTTTTGTTTAATTTTTTTATATGATGGACCCCGGTAATATTTTTTGTCTGGATCCGCCACTGATTCTGAGTATAATTGGTGATTAGTATGATAAGGACGATGGAAGTCTAAAGAGTCTAAACTTGTGCAGATATCATGACAACTTATATGTTGTCATTAGTGATTAAAGGAAGAGATTTTTTATGAAATCATATTAAAATATTCCTTATTAGGTGATCTTGCATGTTTGTATAAATATGCATGAGGATGGAGGTAGTAGAAAGTTACATGATTCTAGAGACAACCAAGGATATGAGAGAAAATACCAGATACCATTTCCATAGTTGGGATGAACGGTGGACTAACCTGTCCTTCAGGGAATTCTACTTAGGGCCTGTTTGACTTGGTGCTGACTGGTCCGGTCAGACGGTTTTTCTGACTCAGTCCGGTCGGAGTGTTTGATTTGCATCGGACTCTGTTGGCTCCAATTACCAAATCAAAGATAATCAGGAAGAATTTTGATCAAGGTATGACATATGCTCCAAAATTCAACAACGATTCTGTGTGGTTTATATCAATTGTTTCAAAACCGGGCTTCATTTTGATAGTGATTTCAACTATATAGGTATACTCTACTGTCATATATTGATCTTGATTTTACTATATGTTCTATCTTTATATTCTAAATCGTTCATGTGTGCATGTTTCATTGCTATTTGTATGTTTGTATCTACTTTTGTGTTTGAAATCCATGGTGAATGCTTATTGTACACTTTAATCCGGGTATTATTTCAAGTGTCGATATCAAGGGTAATTATAGTCAAATTGAGGTTGAATTAAGGCTGTTATCGTAGCTTTTGTCCCTTGCTGGTGCTATTTGAAGACCAACAATAGATGATCGAGATAATACATTAAACTTTGTGCATGTTTTGACTTTCATTTGCCTTAACTGTGCAAAGGCTATATGTGTGTTGGGTTATATTTGATATGTTTTAACAAATCTAACAACATCAAATGCTATATTTGATGTGAATTAAATTGTTGTATTGTTATTTGTGAAAGTGTTTATTATATTTCTAATTGACATGGCCTTGTTATAGATCCAATTTAATAATAAGTAATCAAGGTATCAATGATCCTATTTGATAGTTTAGTTGCAAACAAAACAAAAGGGTAAGATGGTCATTTTCATTAGTAGTCCAACCAGTCAGATACATAATCAAATATTATAGTTTCAGTCAGAGGCAGACAGTTTCAGTTAGAACTCTGAAACTATCAAATAGTCCAATATAGTTATCAGACATAGTTTGTTTTGGGGTTTTATTTATAAGCCAGGATATATGAAATGCGTAGTACAAGAAATGGCCATCTTTATATATAAACTAGGCATAGGCGTATGATCGCACAATGGGGGGGAACAATATAATATGATAAACATATATTTACACATCATATATAACAATAGATAAATAGTTGTATTTAATGGATATTTAAAAAATGAAAAATGATTAATTAGTACGAAACATATCATATTCATACTTTAGAGAAATAAATATAAGGTATTAAAATAAAATATATTATAATTTAGAAAGTAATTTATAATTTTATAATAAAATTTCTCATTAAGGTATATTGTTTTTCAAATTTTTTATTGGGTAAAATTATCATCTAAAAATACTAACGGTGTATGATGTGGTGGGTTTTTTGTTACGGAAACCGTCATCGATGCCGACGAGCTCGTGGTCCCTCAGTTGCGCATGGTTGTGGGTTCGGAATAGTGAGAGTGTGTGGGTTCGTGAAAGACTTAAAGTGGTTGGTTAACGATTATATTAATTTTTTTTCCAACTATATGTACATTTACCCAACTTCAAATTAGGGGTGACAACTCTCGATCCAACCCGTAACCCGAGTACCCGACACTAACCCAACCCGGAAATAAACGGGTTTGAGTTGAGATTTTTGACCCGCTAACCCCTAACCTGGTCATTTCATGAGTCAGATTATTTGAGTTCGTGGGTCAACCCGTCAGCCCGTATATATATTACTCACAATTAAAAAAATAGATATATTTAATTATTAATGAAATTTGGTTTCATTCCTTTTGTATTCGTAATATTTTGTATCATTGACATTGTATTCCTTCTGTACTCGTATAATCATGAGGCTACTTTTTTGCATTCTTTCGTATTTGTATAATCGTGAGTTCTTTTTAGTAGAAACTAGAGAAGATACCCCGTGTTGCGGGGGTTGGAGGGTATTCCTTTGTAAAGTATGATTTCATAGTGATTGTATATGTCCTCTGGTGTTTTTCTGTCCACCAATGTTTAAAATTCACATGATCATATTAATAACAACAAAATGGAACATGTACTTTTATTTCTTTCTATTACTACATTGTACCTTTAAGATTTTTCTTGTTAAGACATTGTAGTTTGAAAAATCAGCCCAGTTATAGCAATATATGAAGCATTGTTATGATTGGGGAGGTTTTTAAAAGTATAGTGGTGGAACATGATGAAAAGAATGTATGATACCATAATAAATAAATCAATAAAAGTATGTGGCTAGTTTTGGCTGAAGAAAATAAACTTACGGATTAGGAAAAAGGTTTAAGCCAATGTTTGACTTTTTAACATTATAATATATATCAAATTTTGTTTGTGAAAAATAATGTATAACAAATAAACTCAATATATAGTTATATTCACTACCTGGAAATTTATGAAAGTTGTTCCCTAATACCTGATTGCAGCAAAATCAAAATTTCTTGTGACCGGTTCTTCTTTTATCATGTGGTATCATCGAAGAAGATATTTCGTAAGTGAAGAGCCTAAAGTTTCAACCAAACAACAATATAGGGATCTTCGTCTTCATTACTGGTGACCCTGTATGAAGCGGGATGTGGCTTGGTATGTGGAGTGGTGCTTGACTTGCAGGAAAGTTAATGCCGAGCATCAGCGACCTCACGGAAAGATGCAGCCGTTAGAGATTCTCGTATGGAAATGAGAGGATATTACCATGGATTTCATCACGAAGTTATCTCAGACTACGCGGAGTGGATTCAATATGGGTCATCGTGGATCGTTTGACCAAGAGAGCGTATTTTATCCTGGTTTAGAAGAGTATTTCCACGGAGAAATTGGTTGAGGTTTAGATCAGAGAGGTAGTGGCACGGCATGGGGTGTCGGTTTCCGTGGTTTCCGACAGGGATGTTGTAAAACCCTGTTCTACAAGTATTCGTTTGTGGATTTAGGAGGCCAGGGCTAGGGGCGTTTTGGTCAATTGGGCTTTGGGTTGTTATTCGAGAGGTTATTGGGCCGGGGTGTATAGCTAGAAGCGTAGGGCTTCTCGCCACCTTTTCAGGGATATAAAGTTCGTCGAAAACGGACTTAGAATGAAGGAGTTGTGATACTTTGAAGATATTATGAATATTGGTCACTAATATAGAATTGTGACAAGGCAGTCATATGCATGCATGGAATGCATGTGTGCGAATAGCTAGGTACGCCCAACGTGAATTGGGTTACGCCCAGCTTATAATGGGAAAAGATCGTGGATTCCTTATGGCGTACGCCCAACGTACGTCCTGAGTCCAGAAACCCTAAATTTAGGGTTAACCGTTATTTAAGGAACATATACCTTGAGATTCAGCCTTCATCTAATATTCAGGCATCCACCACGAAACCCTAAACCTCTCTAGAGTGTTCTTGAACTTTGGAGGTCATTAGAGAGCATTTTGAGTGTTGTAAAGCCATTTCCAAGCAAGTGAAGGGATTAGCAAGGTGGTGGAACGAAGGGGAAGCAGTAGATCCAAGATTGTGGTTCCAATGCAGACCATTTTGAGGTATAAAGTCTGAAACTTTCCTCAAGTATGCTTAGATCTATGTTAATGGAGTTTTGGATCTTTTTGGCCCCAAGAATGGA